TAAAGATATCGTATTTACATACGAAATAATTTAGAATAATAATTTAGAATAGTACAGATAAATGAAATTAATTATTTATAATAGTAAAATGAGAATTTTTCTAACTTTATTTATATATTATAATCTAACGTGATAATTACATTAGCAACTATAATAAAATCAACTATAATAAAACAAAACTATAATTAATAAAGTTTAATAATTTAATTAAAAAGTGCATTATCAGTTTTATCACTACTGTTTTTAGAACTGTATTATTAATAATTAAGTTAGTGATAATTTAATTCATATTTTAGTCTTTAATAACTGGTAGAAAATCCATGTAAAATATTTAGACACCTTAAATGCAATTATTTACTAAGATCAGAAATAAATTAAATGAAATTTTAATAAATATATTTAATTAATAATTTGTAAAAACACATTAATTGATATACAATAGAAGGTGGATGAATTTTCAGTCTTTTCATGTAAAAACAAATTAAAAACGCTTAAACAAGAGAGATTGGGGTAGCCGATAAACTTCTTTCTCGCAAAGAAAATAATATATATTTTTGTATTACAGTCTATAGTATAAAGAATAAAATGATTCTTAAAAATAAAATTTTGATATCACAAAAACGTAAGCCTTAGTAGTATGATGTAACAATAAATATTTGGAATTATATCTCTAACGTAACAAAATTTATTAAAAAAATGTTTTTAATGACAATATATTTCTATTTATCGACTAAATATTATTTGTAGACAATGACAATAAAATATACGGAGAGCTTTTATTAAAGTAATAATGATATGGCGATTTAGTCAACTTAAACAACACTGCTTAAGCTATCATAACAAGAATTACAGGTTCGAATATTAATTATATTATATCATTACAATTTTCCTAAATGGGTAACAATAATCCAAACACACGTTACTTATAATCAATATACTATTGTACTATTATCCAATTCAACTTGTTGTTTTGATCGTAATAAACTTATTCAATTTGATACGCTTTTTCCATGCATGGCTCGTCTTTATTCACAGACATTATCATTTTTGAGCAATTTTGATTTAAAGATAAAAAAATAGATCATGTAATACTTAGTGATGATAATGGAAACTATGATATAAAATTGAAATTTTATTTAATATAGATTACGGTACATTACAATATATCTATTATATTATATATAATTGTCAGAAACCAATGGAAGCCATAGATTACAGGGAAAATGTAATATCAAATTTTCAAAGTGAATTGTTATAATAAAAAAAAATTTTTTAATTAAAATAGCGGTTAATCAACTGGTTCAGAGGAACTCTGGTTCGTTCACTACTGAAGAAGCACTTAAGAGACTAGAGATAAATAATTCATCGATATCAATTAGTTTGTGCATTATTAGTAATAGTATTGATAAAAATATTAATTTATTATACCGTTTTGTTATTTTTATAAAAATATGTTATTTCCGGACATATACACTTTATGTGGGACTTGTTTACTTTATTTTCAACAATATTATAATTTAATTAGTGATATTTCGTACTATTGTTCACGAATACGAGAATATTCTACTTTACATCGAATGATGCTTTATTCATATATAATATTTATACATGAATCCTATTTAAGAAATTTATGATAGAGGCATAATAAACATCTTGCGCCTAAAAACTGTGACCACCATACAAATTGATAGAATATAATACTTCTGAAGATATGGACAATTATATACTATAGAATTTGCTTTTTGTTGAATGAAATCGTAAAATTATTTTTAATGGCAACGTCATTCTTTTAAATTAAAATAATAATACTATTTCCACAGTCTATTATGATTATAATAATTACGTACACACTGTGAAGCAAAGGCACTTTTTTAAGTTTATAAAATGGCATGATTAATTATGTAGGATATTTATACATCCTTCTCATCTCTGCCTTTTATTTTCATAAATTAACTAGATAAAATAATTATCACAAAGATTGTCTGTTAATATAAAGAAATATTAGTATTTAATCAAATTATCAACGCAAAGAAATATTAATATTCAATAACAGTATCAACGCAATTTATCGAGTGAGATTTCTTAATAAAATCTAAATATATCTTTCATATCTATAATTTGCTATCTATCAATACGGATAATATGGTTTATACCAAATTTCAGAATCTATAAAAAGTTTGATTATATAGATTGATGTCAACTTAGTCGAGCAAAGCATTAATTTATTCTTGATTGACTATTAAATATTGAACACAAATTTCTTCTATTCGATAATGAAAATATTGCAAAATATTATCCCAATATTTGATATTATGCTGATATTTTTGTCGACTAAAATCATGAATTATAATTACTTGAGATTGTAAACATTTATTGAGGCAGTATCATTTATTCTTTGACATGATAATTTCTTATTCTTTTGTCCAATGATAACTTCATTAAGCAGTTAGGTAAAATATCATTTTTACACCTATTTTTCTCATTTAATGGAATTTTAACAATCATAGACATATGTAAAATAAATATGGATAAAATGATAGTAACTCAATAGTTTCGACAATGAATGTATATCTAAAGATATTCAAGTAGAAGGCTGTAAATAATTAAAAATAACGATAATCGCAAAAAATATTGCAAGCATAAAAGTTTATAAATCTTTAGTAATTATTTTTTATGTAATTTCATAAATTTCGATAATTTCAATTAAAGTGCAAGTAAACATTAGAAAAGTTAATAATTTATGGTAAAATACACTTTATTGTAAAATCTAATAAATCAGTTAATTGTAAAATAAAATATTTTTCCAATATTGCAGTATTATTCATTTTAAAAAAATATGGAGTTTTTATTGTTTTTTCATTTAAATAATTTTATAAAATATAGACACTCTATAATAATAAATAATGAGACTTTTAAACTTATTGGTATTTGTGCTATTGTTAATAATAAATTATTTGAACTAGCTGATTCGCTTATAAAGGCCAATTCAATTATTAAAACATATTAATCGTAATCAGAATTTCGAGATGTTAACTTTCATTGGTAAAATATGATTTATTTTATAATCATAAATGTCATACATATATGGTATGAGTTAAAGTGTAAAAAGTAAAAAGAGAGAAATTAAATGTATTTTATATTAAATTTTGAATTGTCTTCTAAAAATTGGGAATGTTAAAAACTTATAGATAGCAGTTCATTGAAAGTAGTATAATGGCGAGTAAACCTAGTTAAGATCATTTTAAATTGGAATTTCATCTTAACATCTGCGTTTCGAATTATTTAGAGTAAGTATTGAGGTATAAGATTATGCATACGTTTTCTCATTTCCTCTTTATCTCTCTTTATATTTAGATTTCTTTTTGTCTTTATGTCATTAAATTTATCTGATTCTTATTATAATCGTCATTGTAAAATTTGAATTATAGAGAAAAAAAGAAACAGAGAAAGTTTTTTACAATTGATTTTACGCTATGTAAATTATTATTTTTTTTCAACATTTTATGAAATGGAAGGGATCAGATGATACTGTGTGCTCATTTTTCAATTAATGAATTCTTGAATTTTTCATTCCTTATTCCTCTATATTATGAATCTTTGAATTTACTTTTCATCGTTAAACGTTGTATGATACTTTATTTTATCATTTGTATTATTTTATATTATTCTCGAATATGTCCAAGTGACAACGATAAAAGACCGATAGATCTAGTTTAATTATAGTGATAAAGTCAGAAGCAATGACTATATTATGCTTTAGTCAGGAGATAATAAAATGGAAGAAAACATTTTTGTACATAGACTTACGTATAATAATAATCATCAATTATATGTGATAATTCCAGGTCTAAATTAGATTTGTTTATGATTTCGGTTGTAAAATATGTACCATGAAATGAGTCAGTAAGTCCATCTTATTTTTCTTAGTTACTTTAATGATAATAATTGAAAGTTTATTTTGAAGTTATCAATATAACAATTATAATAATTTGATTTCATGGGTTAAATTAATTAATTGAATTTATTTAATTTTTTATTTCAATATAAAATTGTCCGAAATTTAATTGAGTATTGCTTTAATAGGTTTTAATAACTTATAAATAGAGTAATTAATTTACATTAATGTAGAAATACCAAAAATAGATTATGAGTAGAGTAATTAATTTATGTTAATATATAAATACCAAAAATAGATTTATTTAATATAAATTAATGAAAATAAGTATTTTTAGAAGTATTTATTCGCTCTAGGAGTTTTGTATTACTTTAAAATTAAATTATTTTTGTTAGCTAAAAGGGTTAATATATATTTACAAATAATTGTTCATAGATTCAAACAAGTTTAGAAGGAGTGGCATGGAATTGTCCAAAATAACCTTTTTGCATGCAAAAACCACTTCCATTATTTGTATGAAAGAAATTATACGAAAACTTTACTCTTTTTGAAATTCTTATCTAAATTATTGACTTTGTTATTGAAAAACAATCACAATTGCATTGAATATATCAATTTCCAATTTTTTTTCTCTTATTCAATCTTGCTATATTTCTTAATATAAAATTTTTAATAAATGCAATATAATAAAATAAAGTTTTTATAAGTTAGTAAAGGCTAATGTCCAGAATGAGAAAGATTACATATGAATACGGCTAAATCAATACCAGGAGCTTTAAATATAAATAAGAATATCACAAAAATAGGAAAGAAAAAACTTAGGTCTTGAAAAACTTTACGAAAAAGATGTTTATATAATTAAATAAATTTCTAAGCTGTTCATTGAATTATAAGCCTTGATATTTGTTTTGCAGATTTTGCTTTATATGTGATAAAGCTTGCATTTAACATGTACACTAGTGTATTGAAATATTGAACTGGAAAGTCTTATCTTATATAAGAGGAAAAAACGAGTAAAAGTAAATGTCTATGTATCAAATGTTATTAATATCCCTGCTATTAAAAACAATAGATGTATAACGTATTAGCGAAGGATTAGATTAGTAACGATTTTCTAGCGATTAATTTTTTACGCGGATTTTATCGTTTCGTTTGGGTTACATATAAAAGGCCGGCATCATTAAAAGAGGCTGACGAGAACTGAACGCGTCGTTGGTCTCTTTTGATCGAACGAAGGAAGACAGAAGGAAAGCAGTGAGAGCAGGAAGTGAAGGGCGTCGGAGTTGGTCCCTAACCCTCCTATCGAGCCGTATGACAGATCGTCGGGGGTGACCTTGTATTTCAAAAGTTGTACTGGGTCCCCCCGGGCCCGTCTCATTCCGCCGGTGTACTCGCCGCCCACCTGTCGAACTCGATGCCCGAGTCTGGGCTGAGGCCTAGGTCAACCGGACTAAGGAAGCTCGTCGCAGTTGGGCAGGAGCAGCCGGTTCCGGCCCTGCAGATCCCGATGCAGCGTTGCTCGGTCCCCACAGAGTTCTTCAGTCCTCGGTCCCGGTGCTCTCTGAGTTCGGTTTCGAAGCTGTGCAACTGTTGCATGAAATGAAAGTTAGGCGCGATGTTGGACTTACGGCTGCGTACGAGGTTGAATGCGTCGTTGAGGCTGAGGCTGCACTTGTGCATGAGGTACGCTACGGTTATCGTCACCGAGCGAGATATTCCTGCAAGGCAGTGCACCAGAACACCCTTGTCCGAATTGCGTGCTTCCTCTATAACAATTGTAAAGCCCTTGGCGATCAGTTATTGACTTAAATATTTTATTACCGATGGTATTATATAAGTCCCGTTCAATCTTATCTTTAATCTTATCGATCAATCGGTTTCTTACTGGATGGATTTAATGATCCATCTAAAGAGAACGGGCGAATTAATCGAAGCGATTTTAACTGCTTCAAGATTAGTTTTCATATCGTATCATATTAATATCGAGGTTTATAATTTGAATAAGCATTTGACAGGGTAAACCGTTAAAAAATCCAACACTCAAACGATAGGAGTTTATTGTATACAGTTAGATAAGATATCTAACATTTAGTCCTACCTCCAAACAGTTAGAATCACATAATTACCGATGCATGGATACGTTTTACACCCTTCCGGCAACTATGACAATGCACGCACGTTGTATAAAAACCGGATATCCGTTGCTTAATTGTCTGCATAGTGAGACATTGTCATTGAATGTAGTCCATCAGTATTTGATTTCTGACGCGTGGGAAAAGTTACGGTCTCGTCTTTTGCTCTCTCTCTCTCTCTCTCTCACACACACACACAACTCGCGCGCACATATACGCACATGCCTTCGCTCGCTCACCCACCTATTCACACATACACCAATCATTGTGATATTGTAATAACAGTGTTTGAAAAAGAAGATTGTAAGGATAAAATGGTTAACAATAGCTGATTGTCGTTCATTGTCGCTATATTTGAAGAAATATTTTTTATTTTATTTAATAAACTGTATTTTAGAAAATACAAAATAATAGTATAATAATATAAATAATAATAATAATAATAATAATATAAATTAAATTCCTGTTCTTGATACATATTTAAAAAATAACCTTTTCAACGTATGTTGAAATTCTCCTTATTTTAATCGATATATCACAATAATTTATCTGAATTCGTTAATAATTCTTTATTCTTTTACATATAAATTTATTTCAAATTATTAGTTATTAAATTTTATTTTCTGTTACATAACAGCATGTCTAAATACAATAATTTAATATGCATTATAAGTATTTAAACATATAATACAATTTATTGTTATAAATCTAAGTAATAAATTTATATTCATTTAATCTTCAATACACGCACGCGCAAGCGCACACACATTCACACATGCGCACACACGCACGCACGCACGCACACACACATTACATTAATTTCATAATTATTAACACTTTAAAAAATTAGAAGATTCAAAAGTAAGAGTAAAAGTCTAAAGATAATTTTCAATTTTAATTTAATTTGAAATAAACATTAATTTGTCGTTCAGGGATTCAAAATACTTTAAAATTATGACGTATGGATTAAAAAATTATAAAATATCTGTAACATTAATTACAACCAAAAAAAATATTTATTTAAGATTACAAATAAATATATATAGTCAAATTAATTATTTTTTATTTAACATTGTAGTAAAAATATAAATAGTGAACTCTTTAATACGTCTTATTTATATTAGTTCAAATAATTTAAAGATAGATAAGATAAGAAAATTTTCTTATCAAATTTCAATCTAGAAAGTACATTATTTTGTATAAATGTTTTATGTAATTTACCAATACACGAACTTCTACTTTATTATTATAAATTTTCCAATTTAAAAATCAGCTACTAATACAAATCACTACATTACAGTATAGATTGCATTTTATAATTTTAGACTATTATATATAACATTGTTGTTTCATAAAATCGACACAAGTAAAATCGAAACAGCTGCATAAGGATAATATTTAATGATAGCAGAACCATTCCGAATGAATAATTAATACAATTACATTTATATTCTCTAAATATGATTATTCAATAGAACGTACTAGAGGTAACTTGTGGAATTCTGATATTGACATACAGTAAGTATTTAGTGAAATGATAATAATCTCCATAATCAGAAAAGATTAACGATAATGGGTTTATAAAATGTTTGTAAAACCTACCGATAAATTGTATAGCCTGAGGGAAGAAACTAGCTAAGTTCTGACTCCAGTGGTCGCTTATCGGTATTTGCATATACTTAATAGATCCAGTGCCTTCGAAGACATTGGGTAAGTCTGGTGTGACATTGAGGATGTACTGTATCCTGTGACGATTTAGCGCTTCGCTGTCTTCGCTGTTGGCAGCATTGCCGAGGTACAAGTGCGGCAGGATTTCCACTGGGAAGTCCTTATCGTCTTCCGGGCCTGAATCCATTATAATGACACCATATTAACATGAGAATATATGAAGTATAATTTTATTTATCTCGAAGAGACAGTAAGTATTTCTTTTAAACTTCTTTACTTTCATGTCACGATTGTACGGTTATTGCAATAAATGTACGAAAATCTTCTATCTAAATATATTCTTTAAAAAGTTTATAATATATTTTATATTATAACATTATTGATCAATGTATCATCGATTTTATATGCAAGTAGAACAAAGTTGCATTATCTATAATATTTAATTACATCGATATAATTTTCGTAAGAAATTTAAAGAATAATGTTTCTTTATTTATTTGAAATTAAATAATATTTAATATACAACTAATTTTAATATTAAAATCATGTATTTCATAATTAATAGTATTAGTTAATAATAATGATGATAATAATAATCAGTGACATAAAAATAGATTAAAGATTTCATATAAATTTCGTAATTAAAACTAATATAATATAGTTAAAAGATATATAAAAATATTAATAAATAATGTGACAAAAGCATCGATTAATTTTTTTAATAGTATATAAGTTTTTATTACAGAAGTTTCTATATATTTTTGATAAATAAAATTAATAAATCTATAATAAAAAATATTACATTTTATTATATTCTTTTAAGTATAAAATTTAAAAAATGTCGTTATTCATCATTATGTTAACCTGTTAAAATATAGTAAATTTCATTGAAGGCAGAAATATACACATAATATATTTGTACAGCATTTATAAAAATCCAATTTAAAAAATGGATTTTAAACTAATTTCTTTTAATTTTCAAACATAATCTATAAATAATTTATTACTTTCATTAAAAAATTCTAATTTCGTCGTTGTGTGAATTTCATTTGAATGAATTTCATAATAACATAAATTAATTTTATTCGTTAATCATTTTCCTCCCTAATTCTTTAAAAAAAAAAAAAAATGCAATCCACGCACCATATAACACTTACCTATGGAATCACAGGTGCTATCGCTGTCCGAATCAGAATATGCTCTCGTTGATGGTGTGGATATTCTAAGGGATCGAAGACCCATTAATTCTCCTTCGTTTGTCTCGGTGTTTGTTGGTCCTTCATTGCAGTTCTGACTGCCTTCGCACCATTCTGGATATCTATCTCGAAATGTTCCAAATCCACCTGAAGATATTTCGTTTTTAATGTAAATTATAAATTTTATTATATGCGTAAATATCATAGAATACAGCATGTTTAAGCCATATGCTTAAATTACATTTGAAAATAAGGGATTTTATAGAGATAACTAAGTTTTTAAAAACAATATAATAGATTCACTTCTTTAAGTACGTTTTTTTTACATTATTTATGAGAAATACAGTCAGTGAATAACTTCTAATATATAAGTTAAAATATCTATTTAAAAATCTGTTAATTATTATTCATGACAAAATTTAATTACACATTTAATCATTTCTTATACGAATTGTAATAATTGATAGCAATGGACTCAATCCCAGTAATTTCTTTATGTTTAACTACTTATTAGATAATATAACATAAAATTAACTCTTTGATTTTGATACTTTTTACATTGTCAAAATTGTAATAAATATATATGAACAAAATTTTAAAAACATAAACTAGATTAGAAAGGAAGAAACGTTTAAGCAAACAAATAACATTAATTTAAATGAGAAAAATAGTTTTAAATATATAATGTACATGTCTTAAAATTCGTATTCGAGTTCACATTCTCATAAAGGGGGGAAAGTATAATTAAAATAAAAGTTTTTTTTTTATGTATGTTATTCTTTCTAACATTTAATATAAACATGTAGAAGAATAATTGTCGAGTGAATATTAAAAATTTGTGAATAATGAAGATTTCTTTAATATCTTACAATTGTATAATTATAATGTTAATGTCATTAATATTATTATTTCATATTATGCTTGTCTTCTTTTATGATATAAAATAATTAAATAAGCATAATTACATATATAATGTTGGCATAATGGTAGAGATACAAAAAATATATACAATACTCGTTGCAATGGATTTGTGTAAAGTATGCATAAACAATACATATAATAAAGGGACAGGCGATTTTTCTTTAAAAACATTAATGAACATAAGGTTTTTTTTTTAATTAAATATAATTTCCTTGTGAACACGCTACGAATATGATATTATATATTTTTTATCGATTACTAATTTATGGATTCCAATATTTAATTTATAACTACAAATGATCTTAATCAATAGTTCAAAACAGTAAATAATTATTATTCTAAATAAAAGAAGAAATGAAAAGTTTACGTGGTATTTTCCAATATAAACTGAATAATTCTAATTAGTTTTCCTAAATGATTGGGTGATTGGTTTGTTAGAAATTTTCTAAAAATTATAATACTTTTTAAACGAATTCTCATGCAGTACTTTACATATTAGTCATGAAATTTGATTTTCTATTACTAAATTTAATGAAATTATTTCTGATAAATTAAAAATATGCATTTATTAGTTTATTGTAAACTCGTATTTATAAGTATACTCGTATTTATAAAAAAGTAATTCATAATTATTAATTCGTTGTTTGTGAGTAAAAATAGAAATATTCATTTGTATTTTTATCATATTGTAGTAAATAAGTAATTTTAAATTAATAATGTTTTATCTATAATATCAATATAAACATATGTATTTAAAAACATATTTTTAACTTACATGCACATTTGAGTTACGAATTTATAAACAAATTCATTATGCTGATAATATTTATCTTTTTCATATTTCAATATTTATTAATATATGAAAAATAAAATGCTATGTATGTGTCTTTGAAAATCATATTCATTTTGCTCTCTTTTCTTTTGAGTTTTTATATATTTAGAAACCATTATACAAATGTAAATTCAAGAAGCGAGTGTAAAATTAAATTAAAAATATAACTTGTACAAAAAATTAAACTTATTAGAGTCTAATGCATCTAAAACTAGATGTGCTATCTTAATGTCGAGATTTTTCAGCAGAAAAATGATTTGTATGTATTTAAATGTAGAACAGTATGTGTATGTGTGAATACGCGACAAGGACGATACTTGTGTTGCATTTGAGTGTTTCACGTGTATCAGAGAAAGAGAGCTAAAAAGAGGGGGAGCCATAAGCTGATAAATAGGATGGTGTGCGCATGTTCGGCCACTTTTCCACAGGAATCAATATTTCATTCACAACTTCTCGATCCAACATGCGCAATTAAACCGACATATATATATTCTCTCTCTCTCTCTCTCTCTTTCTCTCTCTTTCTCACTCATTCACTCAATCTTTTCCTCTCGCTTACTCAAGCTGAAAATTTAATTCGTTAGTTTAAATAGGAAAATATAAAAAGACTAAATCTTTAATTTTTATGTCATTCGTTTAGTAATTTCTTTGCATGCACACTCGACAAGGATCATTCCTAGTATAATTTTTATTATTTCTTACGATCGTCTATAATATATTCATTATTATTTGAGTGTTACAGTTCTTTGCAAAAAGATAAAATTGAATAATACTTTGATGTTTTTTTAATTGATATATATTTATGTATTTTATTAAAATGAAGGAAATTTTTAATTCTTTAGTTCTCAATCTGAATAATGACTTTTTATAATACTATAATTTTAAAATTAAGGAAATTCATTCAATATATAAAATTTTAAATTATGTCCTGGTTAAGTTTATTATATATCCATCAAAATATTGTAATAAAATGAATTTTTTTTTTAATAGATCAGTTTAGTGTTTATAATAAATTTAAAGTGTGAGAGAATCACAAAATCTTAAAAAGAATTGAAATTGAAACTAATTCTGATCATTTTTAAAGCTCAGACATTTATCTTAAATTCTTATATATATTTATATGCATATATAAATATATCCTCAATACTTGTTATAATGTCATAATTCCGTAGTGACGTTATACTTTTAAATTTATATAAAATTATGCATTAAGCATAATTATTTGAAGCATATCAAGTATTTTATATAAATATTATCAGTATTACTTTTATGAAACAGCATTAAATAAAATATAAAGTTAGACGTTTTGGACAAATAATATCGCATATAATATTTTGAATATATAATGAAAATTATTTAAATTGTAAATATTCTGAAAATTTAATTTTATATTGTTTAAAAAATTATCGGTACAAGTAAAATAATATGTTGATTTTAAAAATCATTTGAGTGGAGTCCCCTACTAATTAAATATTATATAATTATGTATGTAAATAATATAATTATGTATGCGGACAAATTCTTTTAAATAGTGTTGTCTATTCATGTGAAAGTTAGATAAAAGGGAGCTTACGCTCCCGAGTAATCGAAATGTATTTAAGGATTATTAGTAGAAGAAAATGTATGCATGTGTTAATACGGTTAATATTTTACAGTATTGAAAACATAAATGGAATTGAAAATGCAAACGGAAGTGGAAAGCACTTTAATTATACAGGGAACGAGGGAAGGAAGTAATGCTACCGCTTTCTACGCATGTTTAATAAATTTTTCTCAGCAAATGAAGGCGATTGGTTATATATAAATATCGCGAATCTTCGCAAGACAGTTAAGCGGTATAAACGATGTACGTGCGCAGGCGCGCGCAAATCCACAGCCGCCATTCATAAGTAAGAATGAGTAGTTATGAATGGAGCCAATGAAAATGTTCTTTGCCAAGGAAATCAATTTTTAACGATCCTTCATTGTTAAGATTAATATGTTAATTAGCACAATAGGCAGTCGTTTAATTATTATTAATATAGATTATCAATAGCATGGAAATTCTTCGTCTCGTTTTATGATAGGAATGGTAAGGGATAAGAATGTTATTTACATTTAAAGTTTATTTTCTTACGAAAATTTCGATTTCCTTTCAGTGGCATACATTTTTATCTGCTTATTGAATTTTATATCTCTTGATTGATTAATGTTTAAATGAAAGTGATTTTTAATAATTATTACTTTTATGAACAATAAGTGTTTATAATATTGTGTAAAATGCCTGTATTGAATATGTATTAAAATATACAAATATTACACACTAAAATGGCATATAATTAATTTTACTTATTTTATATTTATAATATTTAAAATTTTCATGTTGATTAAATAGAGATTTTATAACTTGAAATTTTATACAAAAGTTCTACAATATCTAATTGCAAAATTATTAAAATTGTTTTTTTTTTATTTTAATATCGATTAAATATTGTTGTCTATGTCAATATAAATATCTAAAATTAGAACTATATTGAATAAATTTTATATACATGAAACATTATGAAGCAACACTTTTATAAAATATACATGTTCATCAGAAGACTGAAGCATTTGAAGGAATTTGAAAGGATCTCTAAAATACGACGTAAATATTGAAAGTTAAGCTTGATTGTTTGATAACATCGACATTTGAATTTTATTTGAAATAATTAATGTTGGTACACATTATTTTGCAATTTGTTATGCGCTCATCAATGAAAGTAATGACAATTAAAAAAACTCCTTTTTGGAATAATACACTAGAATCTTAATAACATAAACTGATCGAGTTAACGTGTCGATATAACGTAATATTTACAATTCATAAATAGTCGCACCCCTCATAAAGTATATACACACAGTAGACCCGGCAGGGTAAAACAATTATTCATTCATCGAACACTCTAGCCTACATCCTTGTACTCCAACCCTTTCGTAAATCAATAGGAGCTTAGCGACCAGGAAAACGCTAACGCGCATGCAAATTGAATAACACGTTGAATATGAGCAATACAAGGAAAATAAAAGAGATTTCTTTCTCACTGGGACAAACATAGGATCGAAAGGGGGTGCGATTGGTGGTAGTTTAAGAAGGAAGAGGTAGAGGGGCTGTGGCGCGTGCGTGTATGTGACGGGACGGGGGGAGGGGACGCATCCGGGCTTAGCACAGGCGCCGAAACATGAGAATGTGAAGGTTTTCTCTCCTTCGCTCGTCTCGTCTGCGCCTCTCCCACTCTTTTCGATTGTATGCAAGATTTATTATATCATGTAGTGGTCGAAGAATATGGATGACGGAGTCTTAAGCACATTCTGAATGGCTTGACAAAGTTCCAGAGCGCTTGGAGCGTCAGGTATGCATAATATGCTGGTACCCGAGAAACCCGAGGAGGCTCTCATTTACAGGAAAATCGACTTATCCTCCTTCAACTTTCCTCGTCAAATGAGCTTGTACCCTTCTTTTCCGTCTCTTTCTTTCTTTCTTTCTTTCTTTCTTTCTTTCTTTCTTTCCTGTTCTTTTTGTTTGGAGCTGAGGAGTTCGAAGTAAAACGAGCGCCGAAGAAGGTGCAACATCCCTAGGACAAGTGGCTTGGTCTATAGACTCTCAAGAATCATCGTAGTTTCACAAGACATTAAATCGTTACATTTTCAAATATTAATGCAGATTTTTCAACAAGAGACTCTATCCTTTCATTTCCTCTCACATATTTTACTTATTTTTTAAAAACTTATTTATTCAAATATATATTTATCATTGCATGTCTTCAAAACATATATAAGTAAAAGCTCAAAATAGTATTAGATATAATATTACATTATAATAATTATGTTTTATTAATTAATTGCGGTTCATGTAATATTTAAAGATTAGTCGTGAGTAAATACTGTTTCGTGTAGCAGATTTAAATTTATTGTGTACTTTAGTGTACATATGTAGCTCGTTGTAATTGAAATGACTGCATGCATATTGTTAAATAGATAAAGATTTTTCAACAATAACAATTATGTAATACATAATATTATCGGGATACATTATACAGAATTTGTTATCAATTATGAAAGTACATGATTTTTAAAAGAAAAAGAATTATAAGGAAATAAATAAAGTTAAACTAGAAATACATTATCATTTGGCCGGTGTCAATTAATTAACCATAAACAATTAACCATAATCAATGTATTATTTGAAAGGTAGGGTGTAATGAACAGGTTTTTACATAAATTAAATTTAACCGCAAAAATAATGTAATTGTAAATGGTAAAATCACACAGGGAATCATGAATTCATTCCCATCAATCGAGTATATTCCAGAATGAATATTTTATAACTTTCTTTCAATGGTATTATTTCGTATAGTAAACATTTATTTATCATTTCTTGATAATATGATATTCAATGTATTGAAAATTATTTTACGAACGATTACATAACGATTAATAAATAATCTGATAAATTCACTGATTTATTAGTAATTATACGTTGCTAATTCGTAACGACGCTAGTGGTTTATTTAAAATATTTTAAAGTAGCTTTTCATTCAATAGATTAAAACACCAGTAAATTTGCCTGGATAAAAACCCTTTTTCAATAAGAACTCTTTTAATGGTATATCAGTTATTTTTTTTTAAATAGTAAATATTTAATATGTTTAATTTAATCGCGAAATTATAAAAAATTAATTTAACTATTCATAAATTAAAGTTAAATTATATAAATATAAGCCGTTTTTTAAAAGTATTACAAATGATTTTGTGAATTAGACAAAATACAATTTAATAAGAACCTTTTAAATTATAAGCTTGTATTTTTCAACACTTTTAACAATATACATATTTTATTTATTTAATAATTTTCACTTATTTTTTAATTTTTGTAACAAGCCACATAAATCCAAATTTTTTAAAATATTATTTCTAATTTCATTTTCTTTATAATAATAAGAAAACATATTTAAATTTCTTTTTAAAAAATGAAAAATTCAATTGTGTAAAATATATGACAGTTTATAAATGAATTATAGATAGGTTTTATTTTCTTCTGAGGTTTTCTCATAGAAAATTTTAATTTAATAAATTTAATAATTCCATTTTAAGTTAATATTAAATCGGTATAGATCTGTATTGCAATGAAATATATAATCGAATATTTCTAAATTGCAGATGTAATTATTACTTAATTTATACATGAATTTAAAGCTAAATATGCTGAGAAGGTCTAGTTATTTATTGTTTTCATGTTTTTAACTTTTAAAAATGATAGTTGAAAAGAAATTATACATATTCACGATTACGATCAGTTAAATTGGAGATTTTATATTGAAAATAGTTGTAATAGAAAATTATACATAAAATATTTGCATGTAACATGAAAGTTATCTCTCTTTCTCTTTCCCCCTCTCTCTCTCTCTCTTTCTCTCTTTCTTTTTAACACCCTCTTTTTTCCTTTACACACACTAATATACAGATTCAAACATACAAATAAAGAGAGTAATTCTTAATTCTTTAATAATTGATTTATTTAGGTAATTTTAAAAAATGTAATATTTGTAGAAATTTTTTTAATTAAATGCAAATGTTAATAAGGTGCAGAGATGTGATTATTTTAAATATAGATTGGAAGATGTAATTGTAAATATCAAAATGCACTAAAGTGTTGTTAGAAATTTAATTTATATACATTTTAATAGGGCAAAGTTTGAAAAAGCTTGAGCTGATTGAGGAAAAACTGTTTAAATACCAAGTAAGAGTGTGGAATGCATACTTGTTGATAGTGTGGATTAACATGTGAGGATAAATTGACAGATGTAAATCTCGAAGATCGTGAAACTCGGGGCGAACTTTGAGATTCGAACGAGAAGGTAAAAGCACCTCGTTAGTGTTAATCGAGGAAGCAAAGTGTAACTACTAAGTCCCTTGAAAGAATTGCCAACCTGCATGAGATGCGAAGTCTCGAGCGTGTGAACTTTCAAAGTTTAATGTCCGAGAATCGCAGTGTAAAATGAAAAGTGGTAAAATGACAAAAGAAAACGGGGAAAAGAGGAGGGCCGGTTTCGGTAAAGGTACCTTCGAGCGTGGCTACTTGGGCGCCGCAGCTTCTCAGTCTCCGCATGAGCACGTGAATGGTCTCTCCCTGGTGTCCAGCTGGTTCCGTGGAATCGCCCACCAGGATGAAGCGGCCCCTTCTCTCGGTTTCGGCTTCGGCTTCAGCCTCGGCCTCGGCCTCGGCCTCGGTTTCGGCCCCGCCCTCGGCCCCTAGTAATACCTCGACCCGCGACCTCAGCTCGAGGCACTTGATCGTCGAGAGAAGCTCGACCTTGCCGGCAGCTAGCCGCCTCAGCATTATGCTTGGTACGGCAAGGGCGACCGAGCCTCGAACGTGGCTCTCAGCGTAATCGGCACCGGCCCGACAGTCGAGCACGAGGAGTCGTTCGGCCTGACGGCGCAACTCTTGCGACAGCCACTCGCCGCTTACGAAGCCCTCCTCCGTCGATTCGCACATCTCGCGTCTCTGCTGCTGCTGCTGCTGCTGCTGCTG